AATTAAATGTATAAAACTTTACAACTACGCACGTTAGTTATAAAGTTAAAGACGCACACTATGATTTCCCTTCCCAGGAAGCTATTACCGTCGTCTGCAATAAATACTGAGAAAAACTAAAGAAATATTGGCTTTACAGACCATTATGCCTGACAGCCTATTTGCCTCCCCCCCCCTCTCGATCTTTCTTAATGCTCTGACAAATCACACTTTTCTTGAAATATTGCGTTTGGAACGTTATCTTCTTATCTTGAGATGATTTCGGGGCTTAGCGTGCCCGCGGCCCGGTCCTCGACCAGGCCTCCTTTTTGTTACACACTCCCAGGAAGCACAGCCCGTAGCAGCTGTCTAACTTCTAGGTACCTATTTACTGCTAGGTGAACAGGAGCATCAGGGTACCTGCTTGATGGGGTTCTGGGAGTTCTTCTACTCCCCAAGCCCGGCCCGAAGCCAGGCTTGACTTGTGTGAGTTTGGTCCACCAGGCTGTTGCTTGGAGCGGCTCGCAGGCCCACATACCCACCACAGCCCGGCTGATCCGGAACTTCTCTTAGAAAACAGTCCAGTTTTCTCTTGACGATGTCCACGGTTGTTCCGGCAATATTTCTTATAGTCGCTGGGAGGACGTTGAACAACCGTGGGTGAAAAATTCTGCCCATTTGTTTCCGCCTCCACCGGGGATCGAACCCGGAACCTCAGGACTACGAATCCCGAGCGCTGTCCACACAGCTGTCATGCCTAATGCCAATTCATACCATCATCTTGACATATGCTGAACATTTAATGTAGAAATACATTTTGCTTTTAGGTAAATATCAAAAGAGGGAGCCAAGCCGGAAGAATATGTTACATTTTTGCTCTATGAATTAATTAATATGGTCTTAATACTGCTGCTAGGATTTAGGAGCCCTGGACCCGGATTCACGAAGCAGTTACGCAAGCACTTACGAACCTGTACATCTTTTCTCAATCTTTGGCGGCTTTGTTTACAGTTATTAAACAGTTAATGAGCTCCGAAGCACTAGGAGGCTGTTTATAACAATAACAACAGTTGATTGGCAAGTTTTCATGCTTGTAAACTGTTTAATAAATGTAACCAAAGCCGTCAAAGATTGAGGAAAGATGTACACGTTCGTAAGTACTTGCGTAACTGCTTCGTGAATCTGGCCCCTGGTCACAGTCCGGCCCGCGGGGGGACTTTGACCCCCAGAATCATCGCAAGTTACAGGTAAGGTAGGAGTGGCATTTCAACCGTATCATATGTTAAAAGGTTAGAGGTGAACCGTATCTACACAGTGAATGTGAATCATTCTGAACCACATAAACATGCCATTTCGTTAAAGCCAACAACAGCATGACTTTAAACACGAACGTTTGAAAAGATAAAAGAGATTTATGGCTCAAATATATCGGTCTACTTAGGTCACCTTGACTGTTCAACTACAGGGATGAGGAAACCACGTAAAACGCAAATTAAAAATTATTTACTTGATACATGAAAATGATACGTTAAATTAAAAATCAAAATCAAAATGCATTTTAAGGAGTTGGGAAATTATCAATTTTCCGTTTTTTTCTGCGATTTGGAGAAGTTTCTTCCTACGGTTAACGGTTATCTTGAGGTTATCTTGAGATGATTTCGGGGCTTTAGTGTCCCCGCGGCCCGGTCCTCGACCAGGCCTCCACCCCCAGGAAGCAGCCCGTGACAGCTGACTAACACCCAGGTACCTATTTTACTGCTAGGTAACAGGGGCATAGGGTGAAAGAAACTCTGCCCATTGTTTCTCGCCGGCGCCTGGGATCGAACCCGGGACCACAGGATCACAAGTCCGGCGCGCTGTCCGCTCGGCCGACCGGCTCAAACCGACCGACCGACCTTACCGACCCCACGGTAAGGTCTGATGTAAACTGCTATGATGGTCAAAAAAGGACTATTTGTTTTTACAAAGCCTTGTTATAGAGCCGAAATGTAACCTTATTTTTATTATATTTTACAACAATCTAATAATATCCAATTTTATGGAATTTTAGCGAGTAACCCTCAATGTTTTTTTTGGTTAACTCTAATAATACTAACAATAATTAATACTATTGTTGTTGTTAGTATAGGTTGCTGTTGGTATAGAAACACTAACAGCATTGCTAATTACTTACTAATTAATACTACCAGTATTACCATTATTACTGTTTATGACTGACAGGTTTCGAGCCTGATATGAGACCCAGCACAGAACTTTAAGGTTAATTAGTGTATTAATTATTAATGCTGTATTGTTATTGCGACTATATTAGGCCTATAATTACCTGTACCATTATTTTATTGTCATTATTACTGGATTAATAACATTATTACTACGTTATAAAAATATTAGTCACTATATTTTCCTTATAATCTTTGTATAATTATTATAAATACTGCCCGAAACGCATTGCGTAATAGTGGCTTTAGGCATTGTATGTACTAGCTCTATATATTGATCCATTAATGTAACATCACTTGTATGTATGTACCTTTCCTGAATAAACATATTTATTTATTTATTTATTATTTAAATGTACAAATATTACCACTACCACTGTATTATCATTACTGCATTATTATTACTGCATTATTATTACTGTTATTATTACTAGCTTAGGCTATATCGTCATTGTGCTGGAAAATTACGAAATATTCCCCCCCCTTCACAAATACAATATTGTGAAAAAAGCCAAATAATTCAACTTCGGACTAGCTAACATGCTTTTCCCCCCCAATGCAATCCTGTTTTAAATTCTGCGTACCTTACACGCTCACGAAAATAGCTTCTCAATGGAATGAAAGACTCTACAGAACGTGCAAAGTAAACACTGAGCGCAAAGTAAAGGCGAGCTGATAAGAGAATTGGACATTTCAATGGAGTGTTTTCTACAAAGGCAGTTTAGCTTACCTTCCCCCATGTTGTAACACATCTGTGGGGTCACGATCGAGAGGAAAATATACACAAAATACCATTCACAATATAAGATTAGTTGAAAGTATTCCGGCTGATATTTATACTGTAGTTTAACGTTTGAAAACCAACAGTACATTATTTGAATACTTGTATATAAACACTTGCCAAGCATCTTACCAGAGAAAGGACAGATACTGTACTGTTATTTATTTATTTTTGTAATTTTATAATTAGCAGTTACCAAAATACAAGTTAATATACATTTACAAAATATTATGCTACAAGTAATAATAGCAATTCAATACTGATAACTGTAATTCAACTTTATAGATCACAAAATAACTATGGAATTCAGACAATACAAATCAGAATTCAGATAAATGGAAACGACAAAACAAAATAGAGCTACACAGCTAAATGCAAAATACGAGATACACAGGCTAGAAAATTAGAATCTATGGCAGAAACGACGGTTTACACAATGACCGTTGGAGCTACTACAGCTGCTGCAGGGGGCCTTAAACCTCACAAACCTTGACACTGAATCATTCCCATCTGCACACAGAAATCACACAAACGTCATGCATCAAATAAACAAATCTACAAGGGCAGGAATGCTCCCGGACGCAGGTTCGAATCCTCGTCACGGCCCTTGTGGGTTTGTTCATTCCCATCTGCGTTCACGCCTCACTTGCTAGCCAAGTGTCGGCAGCTGTACTGTATGAACGATGTTTCTGCGGTAGACTAGTAGTAGAAACTTTCCAGTCCTTAGATGATGGATATTAAGACGTCAAAATAAATTGGCGAAACTAGTCCAAATAAATGAGGTTTCGGAAAATGGTATTAGTCAATATTTCAAATTTTTAAACAATATACTTTACATTTTGTAACAATTCTATATATCTAACCTGTAGAAGTGCTTCACTAATGTTTAATATATATACAAGTACTCAGTAAGGCGTTATTATGTTTACGTTTTATGCCTTGTGGCTGGTTACCTTGAGATGGTTTCGGGGCTTAGCGTCCCCGCGGCCCGGTTCTCGCCCAGGCTATGTACTATGCGTACATATTTTGATTACAATTTGAAAAAATGGTGTTTAATATTTGTTATTGCCTAAGACTTCACTATTAACCTCAGGTCAGCAAATGTATCATTTATGTACGTCACTAAGTGAATTGTAATAAGACATTTGCTTACTTTCTGTTTAAGTACTTCCCTTTTGATAATTACTTAATCTAATATACGAAGATCACATCGCCAGTAATTCCGGCTGTGTATCCTGTAAAAATGTACAATCATTTATGAATACAAGTTTTCATTTGATGTTAATTCTGATAAATGATGTAACCTCACCTACACATTGCAGTACGTCACAAAATCTCCCACCTCAAACAGGTTTACCTCCACACAATACACAGTGGGAGGAGAACTGTGGGCGCCGGGCCGGCCACTGCCACACAGGACGTGAGAAGCCTACACAGCAATCCTCCCAAAACGGATATTCGCATAAAACATAAAAATTCCACACTTTACCTGCAATATGATCCATGCATCTCATTAAATAATATATATATATATATATATATATATATATATATATATATATATATATATATATATATATATATACACGTCTAATAAACTATAACCAAAACAATGGCAAATTTCCCTCCTGATCATAATTTCGAGGCCACTAAGATGCCAGGATTCCTTTGTGAATAGTGAGCCCATCTCCTGAGGTGACCACAGGGACCTGGAGCACACACACACACCTGGGAGACTTGAATGCAAGTCCAGTAGGTCCCTCCAACACTGGAATAACAACACTGGGGGGGGGAAGAGTGAGAGGACTTACCTTACCCTTTAGCGTACAAATGAAAAGCCATTTACTGGAAATGAGAAGCTTGTTCCAGGACCAGCGAGCATTTAATGGTAAACAAAATTGAGTTGATGGTAGTTTGTGCGGGGAAAAGGTTAATATATATTGCAAATTTCCCTCATGGTTAGTGGTCTGGTGAGGAGAGAGGAAGGAGAGTGTGTTAGGAGAGTGGAGGAGAGTACTCACCTTGAGCGTGAGACGAGGACAAACTCAGCAGGATCAGGAGGAACGCCGCCACCTTCCCCATCTTGGGCGACACAAGTCACTTCTTCACACACTCCTTCAACACACACACCAGCCACGTGATCACAAGTCCTCCCTGCACCTACTACATGCCCAATTCCTTTTCCAATCGCTCGAAAATTTGCGTTTCTTAACGATTTAAATCACAAAAACTTAACACGGCGACTTGATAAAAAGTTTACTGGGATCACCTGAGAAAAATTCACCTCTCGCACACCTGAGTTACTCAGCCGCAGGTGTCGCTAAATGCTCCTTGCCTGCTTTATTACCATTAGGCAGTCGATCATAAACTTATTCGATAATTTAATTCATTTATAAATCACGGTTCCTTTTTACAAGAACTTGAGAACACAATCCAGGCCATTGCAGCGAGACATTAACACACACACACACACGGGACCAGCACACACCTTCCCCCGACGGTATCCAGGGGTCAACTGGTCGTCTCGTGTCGTCCCGGCTTCTCTCCCATGAGTTTCCTCCTGATTTATTTTCAACTTTTTACTTTGATCTAATCCCATATATATATTCACAATATCATTATTTATAACAATTATAATATATACATATAAACATTTAGTCTTTTTTTCAAAGTTTAAGCCAGTCTTCAATACGGGTTGTAATATCGTACGTCAGTCAGCGCGGATAAACTTTGAATGCCTGCGCATGCTGTCTGCGCAGATGTGTACTGTATTATATATATATTTGATTTTATTATTAGGCATTGTAATTTTCACTGCTGAAAGGTATATGTATATAATATTAATCTCTTCACTTCTATACCATGTATCAATACAACTTAAAACTGTACATTTCTATGTAAAAATACACATAAGAATTCATATTTGTAAATACGGTCACCAGCAGGTATAATAAATAAATAAAAACACACATTATATATATATATATATATATATACACACACACACACACCTCTGGTACAAATGAGGGGACCCATAGCCTCGGAGAAGAAAATAAGGAGTATTCAGAGAAGACCTTGTGGATTCTCATTGAACACTAACATTTTCTTCTACCACCCCCATTCTTTTGTATATACACATATATTTGTTTTATTTAAACTTTGTTACAAAAAAGGAATTACATATAGGGTACAAATATGGTTATCATAAGTTGTCGAGTTCCTCCAGCTCCTCAGATGGCGGGCAGGAACCCTGAATGCAGTGTTCATTTACCCCTCAAATTTCACCACACTGAGGCGCTGGAAAAGGAAGCTGGGACCAGATTCACGAAGCAGTTGTGCAAGCACTTGCGAACCTGTCCATCTTTTCTCAATCTTTGGCGGCTTTGTTTACAATTATTTAACAGTTAATGAGGTCCGAAGCACAATGAGGCGGTATATAATAATACCAACAGTCGATTGGGAAGTTTTCATGCTTGTAAACTGTTTAATAAATGTAACCAAAGCCGTCAAAGATTGAGGAAAGATGTACACGTTCGTAAGTACTTCGTGAATCTGGCCCCTGGCAGCTCTAGGGTCCCTTGTTGTTTCAATTAGTCTAGAACCCAGTTCCTTCTAAAAACTGGTAGCACTTTTACCCCAGGCGCCGAGTGTCTCAGAAGCAATGGGGACAATATTGTAGTGGTGATCCAGTTCTCTGTACTTACTGGATTTGGCCGATATATATATATATATATATATATATATATATATATATATATATATATATATATATATATATGAATAGGAAAACCATTGCTATAAAAAACATATTGTTTCAGATTCTTTGCTTTAAAATGCATAACGTTTCGAATACTTCTCGTAGTCATCATCAGATCCAAATGAAAAACATGTCACAATAAAATTACTTATCAGAAGAAAAACAAGAGATATCAAACAACATTGGTTATAAAACAAATCGCTTAAGCTTACCTTTAAGTGACCAAACCAAATAAAACCTAACTCAAGATAATTAAACAAACTACTGTTTAACTTACGCAAAGTGATTGAACTTAGTGGATGCTGATAACTTAAATGGGGATAATCAACACTAATACAACAATTATAATAATCAATTCACATTTACAAAAATGTATATAAAAAACAATCAAAATAGAAAACAATTGTAAAATACTGGCTAAAACCTTATAAAAACATAAATATTAAATAAAACTAAATACTGAAAAATATATTGTACGTCTTATTAAAAAACTACATACAGTATAACAATATACAATATCAACACTTAAAATGATTAAAAAAAAGGTCATGGTAAACTAAAGAAAAAAATAAAAAAAACGCCAGCATTGTATTTTGATTTATTCTTTTTGTATTTTTGTATTTTGTTGTATTTTTCAATGTATTTTTTATTTGAGTTTATGCTGGAGTTTTTTTTAATTTTTTCTTTAGTTTACTATTATTTGTCTTTATTTTTTTTACTTATTTCAAATGTTGATATTGCATATTGTTACAGTTCTTTAGTTAAGACGTACAATATATTTTTTATTAAGATTTCAGAAATTTCGAAACTTATAGTGATGTCTCAGTTGAAAATATTAATGTGTGCAAGGGTTTGATGTATAGTGTTTTACTTAACAATTCTGTTCTTAATTGTCCAATTTGATTTATTCATGCGTTCAAAAAGATAACGCATTACATATTACCAAGGCTGATAAGTCAAATGCAATAGTTATTATGAATAAGGATGACTAGGTCTGGAAAATGGAGTTACTCCTTGGAGAACGGATACTTATCTATTGGTTAACAGATCCTACTGAAAAAATGATCGCACATTTTAGCAAAGCTCTCAAAACTGCGGGCAAAGGCGATAAAGGGTTCATATCTAGGCTAACAAGTCAATCTCGCTCTCTACCTTACATGTATGGTCTTATAAAAATCCATAAACCAGATAATCCGGCAAGACCGATTATTAGTTCAGTTGGTTCGGCGGCTTATTAACTCTCTAAGTGGTTGGTCAAAGTTTTGTCCCCTATAGTTGGCACTATTTCCAACTCACACTTAACAATGTAGACTTAGTTACTAAGCTATCCTCACCGAATTTAAATTTTGATTTTAAACTAGTAAGTTTTGACGTAACTGCTTTATTCATTAAAGTACCTGTTGATGATTTGTTAGAATTCCTACGTGAGGAACTGCCCAAATATAATTTGAGCTTGCAGACCAATAGTGTGTTGGAACTTATCAAATTGTGTATAAAAGACAATTATTTCAGTTTCAATGGAAAAATTTTCAAATATTTAGAATGGCAATGGGCAATGCCCTTTCCCCAGTTTTGAGCAATTTGTATATACAGTTCTTTGAAACAAAAATCTTATCCAGGATTATCCCTGCTAATGTAGTTTGATTTAGGTATGTCGATGATATTTTGTGCTTATGGTCGTGTGACCAAGACCAAACAGTTTTACTTAATGAACTTAATTCTTTGGTACCTTCAATAAAATTCACACGTGAGAATGAGGAGAATGGTACTCTTCCGTTTTTGGACATTATGATTTATAGACTTAATAAAAGGTTAAAATTTAATGTGTATAGGAAACCTTCCAACGTGGGGTCGTATGTTCATTATTATTCGAATCATAAAGTAAAGTTAAACAGGCAGTATTTTCAAGAATGTTTCTTCGAGCTTTGAGGGTATGCAGCCCTGAGACTTTTGATGAAGAGGTTGCTAAAATATATGAAATTTGGAAGAGTTTACAATACCCTAAGATGTTTTTGGATTGCTCGTTCAGACTAACTAAGCGTACGTTTTATAATCATGTCCCCAAAGCGAAACCAGAAATTAAAAACTCATTGGTGGTGACTTGAAAAACTTTCTCCGGTTTTTAAGAAACTTAATATCAGTTTGGTGTTCACTGATAGTACGATCAAGCCCAATTTAATAAAAAAAACTTTCCCTGGTACAGCAGGTTGTGTGTATTCGATTCCCTGCAATGATTGTGAGTCTGTGTACCTTGGACAAACAGGAAAATCCTTACAATTGCATTTGTCTCAACATGCTTATAGTATTAGAACTGCCCAAACGTCTAGGGCATTGTATCTACACACAAGTTTGTGTGATCACATTTATTAATTGGGCTGGAGCGAAAAGCATTACCAATTGCAATGGTTTTGTGGAATGAAATTTGATTGAGTTTGCCCTAATCAGTGTCCAAATCTTCTCAATGTTAGTACTGGTATGTACAAACTTGACAAAATTTTAAGTTACAATATTGCACAACAGTTTAAGAAAAAACTCTGATGGGGAGGGTTACAATGTCTCATTACAATATTATAATCATATATTATGTGTGTGTGTTCAATGAGGCTTTTTCTTTAATCTTTCATACTTATTCTCTGACCGCTTAATCCTCCTGACTATTTTAAGCTAATCTATACCTATTTCTGGATAATTTTTCCCCTGGGGATGGGTGGTCAGGTTCCAGTTGTTGGCCTCCAATCTCCCTTTGTTTCTCTCAGTCTGGTGTTGACAACGGCTTTGATCGGCCGAAACGTTCATCTCCCTTTCCTATTTCTCTGTGGATTTTCCGCATACAAATGATCAGTGTTTCGTAATCGTCAATTGCATTATATATATATATATATATATATATATATATATATATATATATATATATATATATATATATATATATATATATATATATATATATATATATATATATATATATATATATATATATATATATATATATAAAGAAAAACTATTGATGTAACAAGATCATGTTTACTTTTAATTAACATCTAAAAAAAGTTACGTCATATTCTCCATTAGAATTACAACTAATCCGCTAAATAAAAAACTTATACTGATGTCGGAAAATCCGACACCATTTAATAATCACACAGATAATAGCTGTATTGTATAAACAAGTTACCCATAGAAAACGTAACTTGTAGTGGAATTACCGTCTAAAGAAAACGGGATATCATCACCACATACTATTATATTCACCAGCTATTCTGCTGGGAATTATTCTTAAATACATTAGTCTTTGGACTTTACCATCATAAAACATCTCATAAATTAACTTAATTATCAATATTAAAGTAGAGTAAATGTGACCCTTCTATCACTTTCCGTCATCTGGACAATGTAAGCCAGGCGTCGGAGAGGGAGGAGGAGGGTAGCCATTGTTGTGTCACCTCCGAGACGTGTGGAGCAAATTTGGCTCCTATCATATCTGGACAATGTCGGCCAGGCGTCAATAGTATGGAGTGTTAGATGCAGCCATTGTTGAGACTAGACCAGAGGCTCACAGGAGCAAATACGGCTCCTGTTAAATTTACTTGGACGTAGTGTTATGGAAACCAAAGGTTTTCCATTTTTCAACACGCTGTCTACATATCAAGTTAAGTGTTCTTTCCGAAACCCATTATCTATCATTAGTGGCCATTAATGTCATTGGGTAGGGTTAGCCGTTAGAACGCGAAATCGCCTCAAACTAAAGGTAATT